CCACGTCCCATTGGTAGCTGGAGCGGTATGGGGAGCGCGCCTTGTACCCGGAGGCGCACTCCTTCTTCTGCGTTGGTGCGAGTGTCCCACACCACCTGCAGATCAGGAAGTTGCGTGAACATCACACGCAAAAGCTCAGCCGCATCCTTCTGTTCCGCGCCGAACTCCCATTGTGGAGCTAGCTTGCGTAAGCCATGCATCCGAGGCAGCAGCAGGGTGACATCCCGCTCAGCTGCGTTGCGCCCAACTGCTCGAAGGAACTTCAGCTCCTCCGGGTAGTTACAGAGTTGGCTTGACCCATGCACCAGGAGTAAGACGCCCGCGTTGGCGTAGCAGAGCGAGGAGGGATTGTCCAGCCTGAGACGACAATACCAGGGTCGATGCGCTGCTGGGGGCACTTGATGGGGCACTGGCCGTCGCCCGAAGAAGTCCTTGATGGTACCAGTGCGCTGCCTGGCCTGCTGCATGCCGGCAATGGTTCGGATCTGCAAAGATGAGACTGTCGCGGCCTTTCCCAGATCATTGGCTGCAATGAGCTCGGACTTGGGTTCCTGAGTCGTGCTGTAGGCTTATCGTCCGCCTCCACTGCGACCAATATGGGCTTTTCACGCATGTATTGCAGTGAGAGAGCCTGGAACAGCATCGGGCATTTCACGGTGTGCTCTTTGGTGTTTTTGGCCTGGCTACCACAATATGTGCATGGACGGCGCATAGTCGAACTGAGACTTTGCGCCTTCGTGCGCGCATGAAGTTGCACATGTTTCCATACCTCGCCATGGCTGGCCTGCCAATGTGCTTTAAGACGAGAAGCTTGTCGCAGTCGCTGTCCACACAACATACACCTATTGGCATTGGAAGTAAGTAGCTGACTGTGCTGCTCCATTTGACTGATCGGGGTATCCTCGAGAATGCACCTGACATCTTGTACCATGTGTTCCTTTGATGCTGACTGCTCATTGCCCACCGGTGGTTGTGGAGGATCTCGTAATTCTTCCTGGTAGATCTCCTCGAGTAGTTGATCGATGCTCTGACCTAATCCGACTGCGATTTTTACTCTGAGGCAAGCGCCTTGGGTAACATGTTTTGTCAAAGATTGCCATGTCCCGAGCCGCTTCCTGCAAAACCTGCAGCGAGGTAGCCCAAAAAGACTATGTTTGGCTCTATTGAAGCTGATTTTGGCGGCCTGCTCCACGTCTGAATGTCGTCGATGAAGATGCTGGTGAAGTCCTTCCGCAGTGCCGAAGTACACTCCGCAGACCGGGCACGGGATCTGGGCAATGGAACCCGTATCTGCCTGTGTCAAAGCCTGCGTTGGGCCATGCGCCTGCAGAATCTGTACCTGCTCGATTATTTGTTGCAATCGACGCTCTTCCCGACATCGAAGCTCTGCATGTCGGCTAACATCCTGCTTCAGGGTCCCGGCCTGTTTGTCCAGGCGTTGTATGATGTGCTGAAGTGGAATCAAGTCCGCCTGCTCGAGGATGGAGTTGTTTGTGTGGCCCTTCTCATGAACGCGCAGGATTTTGCGTAAGTGCTGAGCCGCAGTGCTTTGTAGAGCACGAAGGGCTGCGTGAGTGACTCCTACCGCACTTATGCCATAAAGAAGGGAGGGCCACACACATGCTTTGTACACTCTGAGTCTCTGCGCCTTGTTGAGGACGCCATTTACCCTCAGCACATTCTTGAGCTGCGCGAAGCTGACGTTGGCCTGCGTGCATCGATATTTGGCCGTGGCCTGCTCAAACTGGCCATAGTTTAAGACAACCCCCAGATACGTCAGGTTTGGCACTATAGGAATGCGGATGTCATTGTCCTCACTGCGCAGCACCAAGCATTTATCACCATTCCATTGCTTTGTATGCCGTTTGATGATTTGCTGCGCCTGGGTGCCCTTCAGCGCGAGGACGGCCATTGATTTCTGGAAGTTGATCACCATGCCTGAGCTCGAAATGACATCGATTACAATCCTGATTTGTCGTAGAGCTCGTTCAAAGGCATAGCACGACTGGATATCCCAAAAACAATGTTTGTCGTCTGCGAAGATGGACATGTGAGATTGCGTCCATGATGCATGTAAGGTCCCGGCATGGTCTCGCAGTTGAATTTGCTTGTCAATCTCCTTGCATAGTTTGGCAGTCCAGCATGAGTAAAGCATTGGAGCTACCCCGCAACCTTGCCGTAGTCCTCGCTGCATCTTGACTTCGCGTCCATAACCGCCATGCTCTATGTGCAAAGTTGTCTGCTGATGTATGTGGATTAAGACACGACTTATTTCTTCGGGCATGCCGGTGTCCTGCAACGCAGTGTGCATTTCGCTGTACCCCAAATAGTCGAAAGCTTTACTCAAGTCAATAATGCTAAGCA